TTTTTTTTTTTTTTTTTTTTTTTTTAACACTATGAAATTCTATTTGAAATCTCTAGATTTATCTTGTGACCCATGTTTGCAAACCTAACAATGCTAACACTGAGTGGCACACCACAATGCTTTGAAAGGATCTCAAGGAACCCCAAGATGCTGTGGCGCCCTGGTTGAGAATCCCAGATTGATTCTGAAGAGGGCCAAAAAAACCCAGACAAACCCACTTTTACACTAGTTACCACTATGAACTTAAGGATATTTTAGTAATCTGAATAGATAAAAACAGTGCAATTCATTCTGGACATTCTGAATTTCTGTTCACACAAGTCAGACAGAACTTGAGAGAGAAATACGACACAATAAATCAGTGACATCTACTATATATGCTAGCACCTTTAACACTTCAGCTCATGCACAGTACAAGGCTGAAGAAAAAAAAAAAGTGTGCAATCTAGAAGGAAGCATAATTCAAAGCATTTCACTTGCATAAATAAAAACCTAACTTAATAAATCTTTGTGCTCCATGTAATGCCTTCATAAAACTTGACTTGTCCGCTAATATTTCCACAAAACCTCTATCTAGCAAATCTTGCTTGCTTGCACTCCAAATAGTGACTTATATTTTCCAATTAAGTGACCAAGACTGAAATAGGTTCAAGTTTTCCCAAAGCCAGTATAGCAATTCTTCCAGTGACTATGTTTTTAGTTAACTGTGCCTTCAAGACTACCTCTAGGTAGCTAGTGTAGTATGTCATTATCATCATGAATGTCAGTTTTTTTTACTATTTTGGCTTCCAGCACCAATTTTCTTTTATCTGACACTGGAGTTGTGTTGAAACATTCTCACCACCAAAAGTAAAAATGTACTTAACTGCATAGTTGCCAAATGACTAAATACATAATAAAATCACATCTGCCATGTAAACCTAAGCTCTTGGCACTGTAAAAACACATTTGCTCCAAAAAGTACAGAGCAAAGTCATTGGATAAAGTTGGAAGTCCTTGCCCTGCCCTCCCTGATGAAGTTGTTGGGATTATTGATTGAGCTCAACAGAAACTGAATAGATGCTTAGGATTTGGCCCCAAATGCAGTGATCTTTTTACCTTTTAAGGCAGACTTCCCACTATTTGGGGTTACAGCTGACATATTTGGAATGGTGCAATGACTCTTTTTCTGCTTAGAATCTCTGTCATCTCACCTTCTCTTCTTTTCCTTTCCCTCTCTGGTCTTGTCGTTTTTTTAATTCTTTTCTCCAAAACTCATGTTTCCTTTATGTATTTTTCCTAGTTCTTTTTTTTTGTCCTCATCTAGCCTTAACTCTTCCACCACACCTTTCACCTTCTACCCTAATTTTGCTCTTTCAGTTTCTTCCCCTCCTTCTGGTGGCCCCCCTTTTTTGCCATATACCCCTTAATTATCAAAAGCAACCACTGGCAGAGAATCCATTGTTTTCTTTGTGAGGCCTTTATGCTGCTATGTCATTAAAGGCTGGCATGTTAAAAAGCTTCATGCCTAGATGGTGCCTGAAAGGAAGACTGACTGCCTAAAGGAAGCTGCCAACTTCTCCCAGCTACTGAGATTTAGACACAACTAAGGCAAACTCCTCTAGAGGCAAAGCATATGCTCAATTCCTCAAATCCCTTCCCCCCCTCCACCAATTACACACAGGCCAACATTATCTTGAGAAAAGACTGAACTGCTCTGCGAGTAACCACCGAATCTGGGAACCGGGAAGACTTTGGACATAGGAAACTCTCTTTCTTGGATGTCCTTCATTGTCAGCATTCCTGGTGGTACTGTTACACCCCCATGGCCCTTGAATAATGCACATATTCTTGTCTGGGGTAAATCTGCGTTCAGTCTCCTACAGAGGACAGTGGAAGGTGGTTAATGTTTGGCACTTCGGAAAAGGAACAGATGCCTTAATTGATGCTTATGGGTTTATAAATTTAGATTCAGATTTGCCTCTTTGAAAGTTTTAGCTTCTGAATCCTTCGAAGTTTAAAAACAATTTTTTCCTTCAGATTATAATGAATTAGGATATACAGGTAACAGAACATAATGCAAAATAAAAGAGATAGAGTGACAAAACCATACAAAAATAGAAGTAAAAACCTACCTCCACATCACATGCATATTCAGAGCCATCCAGGAGAGTCACCTTACACTGCATATTTTTGGGTCTTTTGACAATCTTTAAAGGAGATCTGGAGAGCTTGCTAGATGATGACTTTTGGGATAGCTTATCGTCCTCAAACTGCTGGTACTCCAGTTGTTTTGCAGCAGCAAGTTCCTGTTCTTTGTCAGTTGCCTGTGAAGAGAAATTAAAGAAATATGTTTCAATTTCAGATAAAGAACACAGTGTTGTACAAGACAACAATTTAGAGTCATGAAACAACTGAACTCCCACGTGGAAAGTGACCACTTACCAGCAAAGGTTTTAATTGCTATATAAATGATGGACATTAGATACAGATTTAGAGATATAGATGTCATCATTTAATGATATTGACATCTATATATCCCTATACATATATAACTAATGTCCTTTTTGGTGTTTGGGATCAATAAAACAAGAATTTGCCTACTCAATTGTGCCTCTTTTCATAACTGTCTGTATTCACTAGCATGTCCTAATCAAATGGCAGACAGATGCATAGACAGATACAAGCAGGAAGCCAAAACTTTATTAACTTACAGTGAGAGAAGATACTTCATAACCCCATTGCCCAGAAACCAGACTTTTCAGTGTATCCAACATGGGGGTTACAAGGCTCTCCCCCTCAACCCGGGTTAGACTCTCTTAAGCCTTGCCATTTAGTTCAGTCTTCTAAATCCTCTAGTCTTCCCTTCCTCTCTCTCTTACCAGGGAGATAGAAGGGATCTCCTTCCTCCCCAGGTAGGCACAAGCTCCACCAGTGACACTGAATTAGTGCTAGCTCTTAGGCCTTTTACCCAAGTTTTCACAAAATCTTATAAATTTACTAATATTACTTTTCAATTAAAGTGTGGAATTCATTGTCACCAGATGTGGAAGCTGACACTTTAGCCAGATTCAAAAAGGGGTTGAACATATTTTTGGAGGAAAGGGGCATCTGTAGCTATTGGGCATGGAAGTCAGTCTCTGAATTATAACTTCCTATACCTTAAATGCTGTACGCTGCAAGTGATAGAGGAACAGTAGAAAAAAAACCCTTGTCCTATTCAGTTTACTCCCTTCCAGCATCCACTCTCTGCCACTGAGAGACAGGATACTGGGCAAGATACCTATGTTCTGACCCAGAAAATGGCAGTTTTTATCTTATTATGAAAAAAGCTACACCACCTCTTCTACAATGACCGGCAGGGAGAGTGTGGCATACAAAAAGATAGATTATACACATTTCAAGCAAAAGATTTAATTAATGGAGATGGAGAGGGCCAATTGCCATCTGCTAGCCAATGGGAGATGGCAAGCCCTTGGAATAGTAGGGACCTGAACCCCAGCTGTTCATGCTGCATGTTCCCCACCTCCCTGTCTGTCACCATGCAAGTGTGATTAAAAACACTGTAGCAGTTCTATTTTGGGCTTATCCAATAGTCAGAGCTTGAGATATCTAAAAGAGCTGTTAGGATGCTAATATTGATTGTGGTTCTTCCTAGAACAGATGACAGTCAAAGCAGATCCATCTAAAAAGACTATGCACTCTTCAGAGCATCTGCATTCCTGTAACGGTTACCTCTATTTCCAGTTATGTCCCTGCTAGTCCCCAAACAACACTTCAGTGATGAAAACGCAGTAATACTGAAATAAAGCTTTAAAAGAATTAATCTTTTAATCGTCTCACTATGATGCAAAAAAACAAAACAAAAACAAATAACTGATTTGGCTCTGAAATATTTCCATATGAATAGTAGCAAGCAGCACTGAAATTCATCATAAATTAATCCTTCAAGTCTGTTTTCATCCATTGTAATGAGCCTTCATGAGAGTAGATCAAAGTTATCCAAAAGCTTTAATCTGCTTTCAGACAAAACAGCCCTGCACCATACAACTAGCAAACAGCAGTACAGCACAAAATGCAGGGAACCTTTCCTGAGAGAAATCACGTAAGAGTTCTCTAGTGCTAGTTTTTCTGGGCCAAAGAGAGGTAAAATAACTTAAACTTGAAAATGTATGGCCTTAGGTTCCCTCCTTGCTACTCCAGGGAGGTAATACTGTAGATGAGAAATACAACTGGCTTCTATTACTTCCCCAATTTAGATCTTGCACATCTCCTCCTACTGGTCACAACATAAGAAACAAGAGAAGTCATGTCTCCACACCGAACCAGAAGTCGAAGTGCAAGCGCCTTACAACTCCTACTCCCTATGTAGAAGCACTGAAAGGTTTAGTCTGATCTTGGAGCAGAATACAAGAAGGAAGTGAGCCTAGAAGACACAAAAGGAACAGAAGCTATTTTTAAAAGCCAACATAGCCTCTTAACCAGCTATAAACACACTGGAGAGAAAAGGGGAAATTCACTTCCTGCTACCTCAGCTGTGGCCTTCTCTCAGCCCAGCAATGTTAGTTGAGCACTTTCCCTTTGAAGCATTTAGGGCTTGGTGTTAAGATGTCAAGAACCCAAACTATCACAGAAGTGGTAATGGGAGATGAAGACCCTCCATGTCACAGGTTAGGTTAATGATCACAGCAGCTCTGAGTCAGGCCTTATTCTTTTAAGGTAGGGATGGGCAAAATACGGCCCGCAGGGCAGATCCAGCCTGCCAGGCAATTCCATCCGGCCCGTGGGGCCCCTCTGTGAGAACACAGTAAGCCTTGGCTAAGCAACCACCCCCCACATCCCAGGCCTAACTCACCTCAGCCCCAAGCTAGGAGGTACCTCTGCCTGGCAGAGGCTTTTGCTGGCCACCCCATGGCTGTTTCCAGTCTTCTTGCCCGAGAGCCTGGAAATGCAGGTACGAGCAACCACAGGGTGAGCCAGGGACTCCTGCTGGGGGAAAGGGGCAGGAGTGTGCGGAGCTGTGCGCTATGGGGCCAGGCCAGGCTGGCCTGCACGCTGCAGCAGCAGAGGACCTGAGCTTTGGGGCCCGGTGAGACTGGTGGCACACGCTGCCACCACGTGCAGATGGGAACTGGGGTCAGAGTGCAGGAGCTGCATGTTATGGGGTTAGGCTGGCCTTGCCACGCTGCCACCTTGTGCGGCTGGGGACTTGGGCAGGACCGCTATTGGGCCGCGTGCAGCTAGTCCTGCAGGCTACCACCACATGCAGCCAGGGACCTGGGCGGGAGCTGAGTGTTATGGAGCTTGGTGGGGCTGGCCCCACACGCTGCTACCACCTGCAGCTGGGGACTTGGGCAGGAGTGCAGGAGCTGTGCACTATGGAGCCAGGGAGGGCTAGCCCCACTCACTGCCACCACCTGCAGCTTCAGGGACTTGCACACTCTGGGGACTCTGAACACCACCCTCCCCCCCACCTCCCACCATATACCCACACACGTTCACCCCCCACCCCACACACAATATACAAGACTAATACTGTATTTTGAGCTACTACACAAACGCCTCTAGATACACTATGCAAACATGCATTAATCAAGACAAAAATACATTTTTAAATAAAATTAAAAATAAGTTTTAGTAAATGTTTGATTTTTTTAAAAATGTTTTTAAGTATATGGTTTGTTTATTTCCTCTGGTTTCAAGATGGCAGTGGCCCCCTCCCAAAAGGAGTACTTCTAGGGGAAGGGGAAGGAATTCAGGTGTCAAAGATCAGGGGTTAGGTCCCAAGATGGCGACTAGGGGGTGGGGTATCTGTCAAGGGGAGGGGCTACCCTTACAGCCCTTGACAGCTTGCCAAAACTCATTAACCTGAAATATCTGCCCACCCCTGCTTTAAGGGTTTGGGGCTTGCAGCCAGCCAGCCCTATATAATTATCAGCCCCATCTGGCAAGTAATGAGGTATGTAGCCTCTTCCAGGACTGAAGAAGGTAGATGAGGTTTTCTAGCAGACCTGGAAGAAGGTGGGGGGTTGAAGTGAAGAAGCCTCTGGGAGTGGAAGCTGGGTGGGAAGGGAGCAGTGTTTTGACTGTTGTTTTTCAGACTTATTACGAACGTAACTCTGCCCTGAAAGAGAACTGGGGATGGCAGCAAGCCTTTCCTAGACTTGGAAACAGGACAGGTGCTTTACACAGGGGTAGGCAAAACCACAGCAATAGTCAGGCTATGGAGGATTCGAAACATCACTGGTAAAAAAAAGCATTAGAGAACCTGGGAAAATCCCTCAAAAAAGTGAGCAGTTGAGGTACCCAGCTGAGATTTCTATTTAAGGATAGGAGGCATCTTGGGCATCTATGCAAGAACTCCGGGGAGTGGGGAGCAGACCACTCCCAGACCTGCTCTAATTAAAGTGCTTGCAGCGTCACTTGTATTCAGTGTCCTGTGCTTCAAAATGGCAGTGGGGCTGCTTTAACTAAAGCTTGTTCAACAAGCTTTAGTTAAAGTGCCCCAGACCCCCATTTTGAAATGCGGGGATGCTGAACGTGTGCAACATGGAGGCTGCTGGATTGTGCTAATTAGCGCACTCAAACAGACTCGATTAATCAAGTCTGCTCCAACACATGCTTATTAGCACATATTGGAGCCAAGCTTTGTCATGTGTCCCTTCAGTCTGCAACAACTCCCAAGACTCTTTCTGGGATATTCTGTTTCACTGAAACCTCTGTTACCAAACAGTTGTTACTGCAGTACTCTGCAAGAGTTCATAAAAGAAGTGTGTTGCAATTATTCTATTAGACTAAGAAAGTAGGCCAATATAAGCTTAATGGAATTTTTCTAGGTTACAATCACACAGGTTTTTCTGTAGTTCAGAGCCCAGAAACATGCCAAGAAAGATTAGTGAGGACCCCAAAACCATCATGACATGTTCATGTACTGAGACAGTTTCAAAATGAATCAAGTCTCATCTTCTTAAAGAAACTTGACATTCTGTTGGTGCTCTTATCTAAGAGAAAAGTGACCACTGAGAAGCAACTGCTACAAAATTCAGAGCAAGCCTACAGAATACATGCATTTTCTCCAGAAACTTATTTCTCCTCATGCCTGTTTCTTATCTATTTTTTTGCAGTATTTCAATTCCATGGCCTACAAATCAAACAGAGGGGAAAAAAACCAATTGTTTCAGGCTTGTTCTTGGAACATGACTCCTACAGATGTACAAATATAGATTTAAAAACTTAGTAACTGCAGAACTGTCTTATGATCATGCAATTTGAGTGGTCTGAGCCATTTAATAATTCTCAATCTTCTGATTAGCCATAAATAAGCAAGGGGTTCTGTACTATAATGTTTTCTTTTTGTTGTCTTACAGGGTGAAGCACATATCCACTGTCTGGCTTGATTCTGTTTTGTTTCTTCATTTCATTTCAGGTTATTGGCTTCAGAAACTGAGGAAAGACTATCAAATCCCAGATACCCCTCGGATGTTTATCTCAGAAAATTATAGCTAGTTTCAGAAGTCTAATCACTTTTTCAGGGCCTTGGCTGATTTGCCAAATGCAATTCATTCTGAAGGGAAGAAAGTTTTGAAATCATGAAACACCCAGGTAAAGCAGCAGTAGTGCAGTCTATGAAGTCAGCAAGAATACAGGGCCATTCTCTATGAAAGGGTCATCAACATAGGTGATAAAGTCACCTCACCTAAAGGGTGAAGTCTGAGCCTGTGGACATTTATGCATTTATACCAGGAGAAACTCCTTTCTCCCAGCACAAAACATAGCATTTGGTGTTCAAGGAGGTGTTCAAGCAGTTTTTCACAGAACAAAACCAGGGGGACTATGATGGATCAATCAGTGTCCCAGAGCACTCTGGAGTCCCAGTCTGCCCACAGGGGCAAGTGGGAGAAGAGCATGCCCCTTCCCTCCCACCTTCCTGCCTGTGGGCAAACTGGGGTTATATGCTCAGTCCCAGATGTTGTGTCGGGACACTAACCATTTCCAGAGCAGCAACCAGGGTTGTTAAGCACAGCCTGCAGTAAGTGGGTGGCTGAACACAACCCTGGTTGCTGTTCTGGGACTGGTCATGGTCTCAGGTCAGCAGCTGGGGCTGCAAACACAACCCCAATTCATGGAGGAGGGGGGAGCCTGGGCATGGAGCTTCTACCATTCTGCCCTCACCCTCCCACCCCACCCCCACTCCACTGGTGGTAGGCATCTTCCTTTCCTCTGCAGCCACCTCCTGCTTAAACCCTTCTGGCAAGGGGATGGGGGAAGCAAAGGAGCAGCTCTCTATAGTCCCCTGGCCAGACAGCTTGGGATTTAAAGTGACTTTACTCTCCAAGACCAGCAGCTAGATGTCCCCTCTCACATTTTCCTGCATTGCACATTCCCTTGAAAGATGCAATGTTGGAATCAAATGCCTGTCCTTAGCCCGAGAAAGAACAGGGAAAAACTGGGGACCTAAAAGAAGAGCTTTGAGAAGGATCTAGTGGGAAGGCAGCTGGAAAGCACTTCATAAAAAATAGAGGCGGGAGAGGTGGAGAGAGACGGGCACAATTCCATCGCCTTGGTGACCAAGGATGCGGGAAGAGAAGAAATGCTCTTTCACGGATAAGCCAGCTGTCATGGAGGATTGGGAGAGTATGTTTTCATAAAAGCCAGGACTTGAGAGATATCATGAACTTTATACTTAGAAAACTGATGGTAGCATTTGGCTGTTGAGAAGGGGCCTGCTTACCCAGGCAATTAAAATAAAAACATTTGAATAAACACTTTGCCATGGTTATTTGAATAGGCAACTGCCACACTCAGGGAGATGTCTGGGAAAAATGTATTAAGCATGTATTAAGGCAAACAAAATACTGTATATTCTAAATTGGTTTTTATTTAAGGAAGACAAGGTACAGACTAAGCTAGAAGTTTATGAAAGGATTTTATGTAAAAATGGGGGGCAAAAGTACCTTACCATTCTGACTAAGATACAGCAATGCCTTCTTACAGCTGCTTTACAGAGTCTTTGTCCCCTTTTCTGGTTTAAATCTCTGCTACCCATGCCAGGTTAAGCTTATATTAAGAAATGTATTTGGGACTGTGAAGAAGTCCCCCACCCCCAGCAGGAAGACTAAAGTGATTGGCCCAAAATTCATCGGTGAGGAATAAGCTTCATTTGTTGGTAGGAGCATTGTGGGACAGGAAGGGAGAAAAAAAATCTCAATAAAGTGGAAGATATTGGGGACTCCTTCACACAACCATTTAGGGAAGACCTCAGATATATTTTTGCAAAAATATCCTGGAAGCATTCAAAACCCTTTGTTTCTGACTTGCAATACAGTCTAAACTATTTAGATCCCCCATGTTAAAATGCAGATGCCTACAGCCTTTGAAGCACTTTAGAAACTTCAGCTGTAATTCAAATAGTAGATCATTGGGTTTGGAGTTTAAATAGGAATGTCAAATAATCTCAGCATATCAGCTTTATATTCTGAAGTCATGACCAGGTTATAACACTGTAATATCTGACTTGGTAATTTATATATAGTATGGGGTCTGTCTCCTGCAAATCAGTCTGCAGAGAAGAATGCACTTCAGAGCAGGAAGTCTCGACTCCTATAAATGGTCTTGATAAAAACAAGGTTTATTGTTGCATGAAAGTACAACTTCACAATGCTAATATTTGCTATCAGTAACTCTTCATAGAAAAACTGGAAACAACTGCTTTAGCTGCAGATAAAAACTAAAGGCAGGCTATTTAAGTCTTATTTTTGGAAAAAAACAATGTAATTATCTCAGTGTGATCTACTTCTGGTTTGTGAACTTTGAATTATTTCCACAATATAAAAATGATGGTGTCGCAGGGTATAAGGATAGAAAGAAAAAAAAGCTGAAAGCAGGTAAAGAGGCTGTAAAATATGGACACTAGCATGCATCAGAATTTGACAATGAGCACATACAAAAGAGGGCTGCCTTTGCTTTCCACTTCACAATTCATTAGCAGTGAAAAAGCCTCACGTCCTCTTATGTGAATTAAATCAGGTGATATATTTCTTCCACTTGTGCCTCTTTTGGCACAGTTTTAGAAGCATGCCAACTTTAGTTCTCAACATTTAACTTTCCTCAATTAATTATGAGCATAAACTGAATATTTCTTGATAACTTAAAGAAAAACCCCTTGAAAAAAGAACAAGTAAAATCAGATTAAACTACTGTCTGATCCCTGCTTGTTTATAATTACACTGTAATAAAAAGTTTCAACTACAACCCAGCAGGTGCACAAATTATACTGTATCTGAACACATCTTCATATTTTAAGGAAAACCAAATCATTCTTGTAGGGAGTTATATCCAGATAGAAACATAAGTTAATGTTGCAAAATACATAACTTGTATTGTTCCATGGAGGCAATACAACATATTTGTGATTCTAGGCTTACATCTTTTCCCTTCTAAGAATAGATGCTTCTCTAATGTAATATGCTTTCCATCCTTCTTAAGCTGGAATCCCACTTGATAAAAAGGAGTCTTCAGAGATAGACAATCCAGCAATAACAGATGCTGAAACTTTGAAGACATGAAATGAAAATACTAGATCAGAATTTTTAAATTCCTTGCATTTAAGATAGGAGATGTTAGGGCTCGCTGTTTGCATTAGGGAGGAGATATGTAGATCTGAATTCATTACTTGCGCAAGTCCCACAATCAAGGTGTGCTTGTAGAATTATTTTATTCTTCTGGATAAAGTGACAATTGAGTAAAAAAATGAAGGATTTTCTCAGCATGCACTTCTCTACTCTGATTGGGTGTTCTACTTTTAACACTGAGGAACTTAAGGTGGGAGTAAAATGAAAAAAGTTCACTGCCTCTTTGATTTTTTACACTTTTTATTGAAAATCCCAGCAGTGCGGCTGATTAGTGACAAGATTTAATGATGTTTTTGTGAAGTGAACACTTACCTGCTTTAAAATATATGAAATGTAACATTTCACATAGGCTGTACAGCCACTTCAAAATAATCATTTTTAAATTCAAATTAGTGACTTAACTGTGAAGGCTCCATAATTAATTACCAATCTACTGGTAAATCAAATTTGCCTACAAAAAAGTTAAGACTATATCTGTTCACCGATGTTCTTGTGGACTGGCAATGGAATTAAACATTGTACGAGAACATATGAGGACTCCAATATCCTAGGGAAAGGAAATCCATATGGTGGAAATGCTTTGAAGAAGAAAAGTTGGGGACAGTATCTACGACAAAAGGATCAGAGATGTGACCAGCTTTTCTAGTACTGCATGCACAGCTGTTTGCTGTTAGAAGATGCCACTTTATTAGCACACCCAACACCAGGTAGACATCGAAATGGTATAATTTGCACCCAAAATTACTTCTAGCTGCAATTTTTTCTTCTACAGTAGCTTGAGGCTGCAATACTGCACATCATATTTAAGAGCCAAAAACAAAGCTTGCAAATGCAGTTGTGGGTCAGACAGAATGCTTGACGTGTTTTCTGCTTCTGTCTGCCTTGTAAGCATAAGTTGTTTTCCCCAGTTAAAAAGAATCAGACCTCACTTAAAAGTTCCTAAGCTTGTCATTAACCCTTTGCCACCAAAAGCTTTTGACTGCCAGGCCCCCTGTGCTAATGGAGTGCTACTTATCTAGTAATGCTAAATGTTGACCCTTCATGACCTATTGATTAAAAAGGGTTAAAAATCAATGCTAAATGCATCATTTTTACATATAAAATAATAATACAAGAAAAATGAAAAGCCACCATTTAGTAAATCCTAAAAGCAAAGTAGTAAGGTTTAAAAAGTTATTACAGTACCAACAATTTAGAACTAAGGGAACTTTTAAAACCTCAGAGATGTTATGGTACATGTCAGACTAGGACACACGAAACGAGCTTTCAGCAAGCGCCGGAGTGGAAGCAAACCTCCTAAACACTGGCAGCTTTTCAAAATTAGCACTCTGATGTAAAAAGTTTAAAGAATGCTTTTCTGCTTATAATACTGGTGTCCAAAATTAAGCACATCTAACATTAATTCCAAGATTGTGCATAAAGGTATACTAACACATTAGTGTCAAGTTCCAAGGACCTGAGCCAAATCAGTATATTTTTGTGATGTCATTAAAAAAGCCCTTCAAATCAAACAAAGCTTTAAGGTAGACAAGACTTTTATTCAGACACTTTTACTTGCAAAGAGCTTATAAAACAATGTGTAATCCTCCGTGTCCAGCAACTGTATAAACAGTTCACTTGCCTGCTCTTTTTTCACAGGTGTACTGTGAGCTGCCACACCAGAAAACTGTTCTAATCCGTTCTGATGTTCTTCACTTAGCTGCTGCTGGTCTGGAGGTTGTGCCCCTGCTGTCCCTTGCTGAGCAGTGGCTTCTCGCTGATCTTGTTCTTTGTCCTTCGACTCAGAATCTGATCCAGATTCAGTAGTCATGGTTGATTATTCTGTAAAACAAGATGGTCAAACTTACTCCAGACAATTCTTGCATCTGCTAATTTTTATTTTTTTTAAATTACATGACAAAATGGAAAAAGACCATCACTAAGTTTTAGACTCATTAATCCTGGCTTTGAAACCAATCAAAGTATATATTCATTATTCATCAGTGGCCCATTCTGGATTCTTAGAAAATAACTTGAGGCAAAAGAGTAGGGCTAAATACATTAATAAATCCCAAGGAATTTTATGCTCCATAAAATGTAATTCTGCCCTACCATTTATTAAGCATATTGTAGCAAAAGTATGGTAATGAGAAATATAAAAATAAAATTCAGGAGGAGTGTTATAGCCAATGAGTAATGTTTTCACAAGAACCTAAATGAGCTGGAGGATGTCTATATTACTTCCTCAGTGTTTCTCTGTGTGTCATTTAGAAGCATGGCACTACCTACCTCCTCCCACCAACCATATATGAAGCCTGCAAGCAAATCCAAGGACATTCTCCCTATCACAGCTCTTAAACTCTGTCTCCTGGATGCTTGCAAGTAGGGACACTCATTCATTTCCAGGTTTGGTGCAAGCAAATGGGAAAGCTAGTACTTCTCAGTGGAGTACTCTGCAACTCCAGAGACATGGCAGAGACCTACCTTCAGGCTCTTAAAATTCCAGTGACTTTCACTGGACTTAAGTGTTTTTGGAAATGTTTAACTGTAGGCTCCCTAGTGTCATTTAAAGACCCAAGCCTTTTTTGAAAATGAGTTGTAGGAACCTTGGAAAGTTTTACATAATGTCTTTAATGTTAATACTCAGCCAACAGAGACAGTAATGGGAAAGGGGAAGAGAGAAAGAGAGGGAGAGAGATGTGTGAATTGAACAGAAACATTTTCATACAATCAGCTCTTATGAGACACTGTCAGCTTTTAAGAAAGGTGATGCTATGAGCCAAATTCTGCTCAGTGACTGCACATCAAAATTTCATTCTGGCTCTAGCAGCATTCTATAATTTCAGAAGAGGGAATGTCTCTGAAATCCAAAAGCACACTAAACCAAAGGCAACATATATAAAGTCCTGTTTATTTCTACAAGGTTGCCTACATGCGTGAAGCACACTGAATTTGGCTCTGTGTTTTATTCTGCACCAGTCAGATTCAGCTATACTTCCATAATTCCTCTTAATAAAATTAAAAGGCCTTTAAATTGAAGTTAAAGTTTAGATGCTTGGAAATTTAAGAAGTTGAAATAAGTAATGGTTTGAATATGAAAACAGATGTTTGTTTGCGCTATGCTTCATTTGGTCCTAAATCAACATGAGATTGTTAGCAAGGCTATACAGTTGAATACTGTGGTCCATAATTGTTTGTTAACAGACCCTTCCAACAGGAAAATGTTTTGTAAAACGGGACCAAAGAAAAATAAAAGGTATTGTCAGCACTCCATCTGATACTGCAGAAAGACAATCCAACATCAAGACACTATGCCACTCCACATTAAACAAGGATTTGAAAGAACAGATTCTGTTTAGCACAGTAAATACTTTTGCATATTATTTTCAGTATTTACAACTTATTAGCCATCACTGCCTCATACACGTGCATCTTGATTTAAGCTATTTTAAACAAAACAAAACTAAAATCAGACTGTAGCAATCTAATTCTGTTCATCAAAACCAAATTCCTTTAACCTGGTAACCATAGTTACTATGCGATTACAAGCAATTCCCCAGAATATGAATCTGTTTATAGTTTGGAATGAGTCCACTCAATTCTTAACCAACTAACATGCTTGCTACTACAGCAAGATTCATTAGCTGTATTCTCTCTCTCCTTTTTGCAGTCTAATGGAATAGTCTTTCCCTTACTAGGGATTCATTATTTAATGGAAAATGTTTTGGTGGAGTATTTGAATGTACCATTTAACAAGCATTTTAGTTATTGGTTAACACTTTCTATACACTGAAGACCAAATTTTCCAAGGAGCTCAGATTTGTGCATGCAGTTTTGCATGTATATTTTTGTTTATTTTCACTTGTCCACATAGTGAGTAAATTAACACTCAGTGTTCAATTTTTGAGACGTGTAAGCAAAATTCATAAATGACAAAAAATGGGCAACGTGCAAAACCTGTGCAAGCAAATCACTAATAACCACACACTGAAAGTCTAGCCTCAAACGTCAATCTCTCAATTTATTACTGTATCACCTAGCTTTAGAAGGATACAATACATTTCTGTATACACCTTGGGATGGTTATATGAGATTATTTATTTTGACAATTGTCTTTACCATAGATACAGAGACAGGAGAATTAAGAGACGGAAAGAGGATTTTCTGGAGTCATTTAAAATGTGATGATCATTGTTGAGAGTTCAATACTATCACGCCATTCTTTGTTGTATGCTTGAAAAATAAAATGGCAAAATAAGGTTAATCTCTTGTAGTTTTGCAGTGTCCATCTGTCACATCCACATGCAACAGAACTAGCTTCCATCTGATAATACTACAGCAGCCATAATACTACAGCAGCCATAATAAGACATTTAAAAATGAGTTTTGGATATGTTTTCTGTCCGTGCCCCTCCCCCACTGTCCCATTGATAATGTTTCTCCCCCTAGTCTCAAAGCTTGAGAGAATTTTTCTAACTAACCAAACATTCCTTCAACAGCAGATTCAATAACAAACAACTGGGTTTAGGGTGTAGTTTGTAACAGAAAATTTAACTGCAACTACCAAAACAACAATAGTGTAGGTTTACCAAGCAGTATGGTTTTTACACAAAATATAGAATGCATGAAGGTTTTAGTAGAAGAGGCCTATTTGTCTTACTAGTGATACCAGTACCATCTTGCAACATTTACTTACCAGTAGCAGACCAAACCAGACCAGACTGTCAACTAGTACAAATAAATATCTTATTTTACTTTGATTTTAGCTTGGAAGCTTTTTTCTCGGAATCATAGGCAACTGCTCTCTAATGAAGATATTTATTATGGCTTTTAGTGCAAGTGAAAGCATTTTTAATCTGTAAAACTTTTACTTGAAACAATGCTACAAAGCTCTCCTGGACCTGGATGTTATCTCTAGCTATGTTTAAGCCCCTATCTTCTGAAAGAATGCTGTTAGTACAGGCTCAAATCTTCTTCCTTCCTTGGTTTTTTTTGTTTTTGAGTTATCAGACCCTTTCCGTTAGCGATTCCTTTGATTCTCCTGTAGTTGCTCAGATCCTTGATGGATTTCATTAACCTAAAATTCATCATTTCCAAATGCTTTCTTTACTTGCCCATACAATTTCAATGTTTACTAAATACTAAGACCAACAGTCCTAATCTTATATCATCATCATCTAGATATAAATGAAAGCAAACTCCAAATTCAATTTCTTAATAAAAACTTCTGCTACAGACATATTTAGGATTTGTCCTTTTTCTTTCAACAAAGGTTGAAAATACCTTCAAAGAATACAACGTAAGATAAAAAGTTAACAATTCTTGGATGCCCAAACTAGGTGGTCAATATGCTTGCTGTTTTCAACTACACTAGGATTTGGCTCTGTCTCAAAAAAAATCAGAGGCTTTGATGACTTTAAAGGTGACTACTTATAACTTAAAGTTAAAAATTAATTTATATTAAGAAACGTTATGTATAAAAAGATGGGTCTGAAAGCATTAGTGATGAAGAGTTAAGTGAAGATTAATCCACATTCATGTCTTTCCAAAGGTTATATGGTATTTTAACATACATATGCAAAATGCCACATAGCATACCCTAATCTTAATTCTCTCCTCTGTACTCCTGCTTAGCGCCACAGTTTATAGAAAATATATATTTTTAAACACCTTTCCATTATGCACCACACAGTTATTTAATATAAGCTATAAAACCCTGAAGACCAACACCCAACATCACAAATTATTCTCCAGTTTACCCAATCATTGTTAAGAGATATGAATCTTACATTCTATGTACAGGCCAGGGACTTAACCTTCCCCATTCCCAATTACCTGTTACAGCTCAGGATAAACATATTACCTCCTGGTCCCCATATACCTTATTTATACCATGGCTCAACTTTTTCCCTAAAATTTAACAACTGATAATTGGGAGTGGGTGTCTTAAACGTGGAAATAGTTTTGAACAGTTTTGTTAAAGAGAAAAATCATTTTTTCTTCAATTTACCATCCCAAAACAAGATGCACGTGTCATTTGACCGTGTTTGGTGTGCAGATACTGTTCATCATTCCATTATGAGGCAAAGCACGAATCAATCCCTTAATAATCAACTGAAAATATCATACTTTACCCTTTCATATGCTTGCAGTATCCTTTCATTACAACTCATCTATTAATTTAACACTCTGCTTTCCAGTTCTAGAACCTAGATCTTCTTTCACTAAACATATATAGAATGTTTTGCTCAGGTTCAGGTCACAGCCTCTGCCATTAGTACAGGTTTCCCTTGCTTTATGCTGTACACGCATTTGTGGAAAATGGTGCATAACCTGAATTCGCATAAAGGGAACCCACTTTACAATGTACCAAATAGGAATATAGGCCAAGATCCCGACTATACTGACCCCCAGGCCCATTTCTTCTGGTTTTACAAGACAATTTTGGTACTCGCCAACAGCAGACACTACACACAAGCACAGGGTAGTAGTGAATGTTACCATAATGGGGACGGCAACTACAGAAACACGTGACACAGACAACAAGTGAGAAGCACAGATCCACGCAGGAGACTATATTTTGGTGCATGTCACTCCTACAATGCACTGCGCAATGCAGCTGACTTCCACAGCATACCGATCACATAAGAATGAATTGACCTTGCATATAATGAACTTTTGGTATAAAAAGGGTCATCGCATAAGAGCAAATTTGTGCATACAGAACCTGCATAAAGTGAAGGAAACCTGTATCTAATAACAACACTTCATTTATTTTCACTGACAAAAAAAAGTCTACTTATTATAAATAAAACAAATTAAATTAAAGGAGAAATTGCAAA